CAGCCTAGCCGCCCGAGCATCATCAGAATCAACAGCAGCAGCAGCCGCCTCGTCATGATCATCATCATTACCATCCTCATCCTCATCATTATCAGCATCAGCCTCATCATCATCAGGAGCATCATCGTCAGTCTCATCATCATCGCCATCATCATCAGTATCAGCTTCGTCATCATCGTTATCATCATCATCAGCAGCATCATCATCGCCGTCACCAACACAATCATCATCATCACCATCATCATCAGCATCATCGTCGTCATCATCACCATCATCAGCAGCATCCGCCTCATCATCGCCACCACCAACCACCATCCTCAACATCATAATCAGAATCATAATCGCATCGTCATCGCTATCACCATCATCACCATCATCACCATCATCACGAAAATACCATGACCACAATCATCGCCATACCAAAATCAAAGTCGTTACCATCAGCAAAGACAACAGCAAGAACAGCGACAGCAACGCACTCGTCATAATCATCAGCGCCACCAGAAGCATGACACCCTTCTCAACATCATCCACCAAGCCAGCCCCCTCTATGCCTTATCCTCCCACTCTTCCTCGTCATCTCACTCTTGCATTATATTCGCTTGTTGGGCCCTTGAAACAACTATCCCGCACCTCGTCCTCAGTCAGAGTCATCATCCAAATCAACACTACCATCACAACCATCACCACCACAACCACCGCCAGGATCGTCATTATCAGCAGCAGCAGCACCACCACCACCACCATCATCAGAATCGTGTGCGCTCCTAGTCATCCTTGTCCTCCTCGTCCTCATCACTCGTCCCACTCCTCGGCATACACCCCCGCCCCCCGCCCCTCCTCCTCCCCATCCCGCTCCCCCTCCCCCTCCTCCTCCTCCTCCTCCTCCTCCTCCTCCTCCTCCTCCTCCTCCTTCTCCTCACCCTGGGACAGTTGTGACAGCCGAGAGGCCAGAACGAAGCACACCTTCTGAACATCGCGGAGGCAGAGAAGAAAAAAAGATGTCCATCTTCTCCCCTCTTCCTCCTCAGCGTCACCCCTTGTCTTGCAAGAAGAGGCTCAGGGCACTCCTGGTAGATCCAGCCTCTCGTCGAGCCCTTGCCCAGGGCGAACCAGAAGCACGCGAGCAGATGTATCATGATGATGGTCCCCATAACCCGCGGCCCCTCCCAAGGAGGGCCCTCGAGGCCGCACTGTTCGCAGATTCCCTCCTCCTCCTCCTCATCATCATCCTCCTCGTCCTCCTCCTCCTCCTCCTCCTCTTCCTCCCTTCCTCATCTCCCATTCCTTTTCCTGAAAAACAGCTCCTCCTTGTCACACTCCGCGGCCAGGGGCCCGGCGATTCGCCTAAGTCTTCCGTACCACTTGCGACCCTGAAGTCAGAAACTGATAACAGCTTCAAGGATAGAGGGCCGGCAAATTCCAAAATGTGGCTATCGCCTCCGCGCCGCGTACATTCGTCTCAAAACAATGCAGGGGCGTCACGGGTTGAGGGCGGGCCAGTATCAGAATGTGGCTGTCGCCGCCGCGCCGCGCACATGCGTCTCAGAAAAAGGCAAGGGTTTCACGGATTAAGGCGGGATCGTTTTTTAAATGTGGTTCGCGCCTTAGCGCCGCGCACGTTCGTCTTAAAATAACGCACGTGCTTCACGGATTGGGAGCGGCTCCTTTTCAAAATGTGGTTCTCGCCTTGGCCCTGCACGCATCCGTCCTAAACATTTGCCAGCCAATGTTTGACAGGTTTGGATGGTTAACGTACCAGAAATGGCGTGCTGGAACGATTCAGAATTGCCAGGGCGCGACAGGCACGTTGATTCGCAGTGTTGAACTCCCAAGGATGGTGCCCTGGCAAGATTCAGGCCCGTTCAGGCGCAACAGTCAAGTTTACTATTGGCGTTGGAGTCCCGAGAACTGTTGTTTGGTACGCGTCGGGATCTTCAAGCGGTTCTCTCCCAACGGGGCTCGTCCCTCAGTGGAAATGAATCATTGTAGATGTCTATGAAGTGGGAGCTTGGGGGGAGGGAGCATTCAAACATCGTTGATGGGTCTTGTGCTTACACTTGTCCTCCTCCTCCTCCTCCTCCTCCACATGCGCTTCCTCTTTAGCATCCTCCTCCTACTCGTCCCGCACCCTCCTCTTCGATTATCACCATACTCGCTCATATCTCTCTCTCCCTCCCTCTGTCTCTCTCTCTCTCTCTCTTTCTCCCACTCTCCCTATTCCCTCCTCCTCCTCTTCCTCCTTCTCCTCCTCCTCCTCCTCATCCTCCTCATCCTCATCCTCATCATCATCCTCATCCTCTTCCTCTGCCTCCTCCTCCTTCTCTTTCTCCTCCTCCACCTCCTTCTCCTCCGCCTCATCCTTCTCCTCGTCCTCCTCGTCCTCTCTCCTCCTCCTCCTCCTCCTCGTCTCATCCTCCGCCTCCTCATCCCCCCTCCCCTCCCTCCCCCCGAAGCAGGCCCAGTGTTAGTGTGGGCGGCTCTTTCTCATCGAGCAAGACCGAAGCCAAAAAACTGCACGCGAGCGGCCGCAGCCCGCGCCTGCTGCACACGGGCGGGCTGCGCGCTCCTACGTGGGTCCCTGGTGTTAGAACCCCACCAGCCCTCAGGGCGTGCAGTCGGCCAGTATCCCAAGGATGCGCGAGAAGGGTGCAAGGGCCTCGGAGGGCCACGGCACCCTGCGGGCGGGGCGCAGCCAGCGAAAGCGGCCAAGGATGGGCCGACGAGGAAGGATGTGAGGGTACCCTGGGGAAGGTCGCCCATCCGAACTTACTGTGTGGGTCGACTGTACTTGGGGTTAGGGTCTCAGAACCCCACCAGCCCTCCGGGCGCAGGTGGTTTAAAGATATCTTCGCTGCGTTCTTCCAACAGCTCGTTCTCACCCTGCTCGGGGGAGGGGTCTATCCCACCCCCCACCGTGCTCCCTCCCATGAGCACGCATGGGGCGCCCAGCGAGATGCCAGAGGATGTGTGTCGGTCCAAGATGGCCCCAAGACCCCAAGAGGGCCTCAGAGAGCCCAAGATGGCCTCCAAGATGGCCCAAGATGCTTCAAGACGGGTCACAATGGCCGTCTAGATGCCTCCAAGGGGCCTCAAGGCGGCCCCAGGCCGGCGCCAAGTGCCCTTGCAGTCCGCCAGGGACCCCCCCCAAGAAGCCAAAATGACTCCAAAACCTATGGATAACTCGTCGGTTGTTGCGTGCTCGCAGTTTCTCGTCCGATGGGCTTGCGGAGCCTCAGAGTATGGCCCCAAGACGGCCCAAGAGAGCCCCAAGAGGACCCCAAGTACGCCCAAGAGCGCCCCAAGAGCGCCCCACGAGGGCCCCAAAGCGGCCTGCTCGAGCCTCCGACGGGGGGGGCGGACAGGGGGGGGGCTGAATCCGTACCCACCCCCCGTTTGAGCCATTGGGTCCAAGATCGAGGAGGAGGAAGAGGAGGAGGAGGAGGGGGAGGAGGAGGAGGAGGAGGAGGAGGAGGAAGAGGAGGAGGAGAGGGAGGCGGAGGAGGAGGAGGATGAGGAGGAGGAGGAGAAGGAGGACCAGTGCAGACCCAAGAGTCATCAACGATGTTGAAATCAACCCTCCCTTCAAGCTCCCTCTTCACAGGCCCCTACAACGGTTCATTCCCATTGAGGGAACTGCCTCGTCGGCAGACAACCGTTTGAAGATCCTGAAGCGTGTCAAAACAATTTTCTCGGGATGTCAACACCACGTATCAACCCGACTGCTGCGTCCTGAAGATCCAGAATCGTCCCAAAACGCCAATTTTGGAACTTCAACACCGCAAACCAACATAACTGCAGAACTGCTGCGACACCATAATCCTGAATCCGTCTTGCCAAAACACCACTCATCATGGGAACCCGTGGAACTCTCGCAAAGTGTTAAAACAAATGTGCGCGGCGCTAGGGCGAGAGCCACATTTCGAAAACGACCCGCCCTCTATCCGTGAAGCTCTTGCACAATGTTTAAAACGAATGTGCGCGACGCTAAGGCGAGAGCCACATTTCGAAAATAGCCCGCCCTCAATCCTTGAAACTCTTGCAATGTTTAAAACGAATGTGCGCGACGCTAGGGCGAGAGCCACATGTTGAAAACCACCCGCCCTCAATCCTTGAAATTCTTGCGAACTTAAAAAAACGAATGTGCGCGGCGCTAATGCGAGAGCCACATTTTGAAAACGGCCCGCCATCTATATGTGAAGCTGTTCTCACTTTTAAGCTTCAGAACCATAAATGGTGAGGAAGTCTCAGGCGAAACGCCCGGCCCGCCCTAAAAACTGGCCCCAGGGTGCGACAGGGAGGAGAAGGAATGGAGGAGGAGGAGGAGGAGAAGGAGGAGGGAGGAGGAGGAGATGGAGGGAGGAGGAGGAGGAGAAGGAGGAGGAGGAGGAGGAGGAGGAGCAGAGGGATGAGGAGGAGGTGGAGGGAGGAGGAGGAGGAGGAGAAGAGGAGGAGGAGGAGGAGGAGGAGGAGGGATCGCCCCAAGAGACCTCCAACACTCCCAGTTTGCAAGGTCGTTGCAGGGTCTTCGCAAGTCCCCCCGCCCCCGCCCCCACCCCCCCACCCCTACCCACCCCTCTGCAGAGACCCTGCAAAGACCCTGCAAAGAGACACTGCAAAGAGGGGGGCCCCATCTGCTGCTGGTTATGGAGCCTTCGGCCCCACTGCTCACAGAGGGGGGGTACCAAATGCAGGTCCCCCCCCTCGAAAGCTCAAAGTTCGTTCTCGTTCCTGTTCTTCCTCCTCCTGTTCCTTGTGTCCTCCTCCTTCTCCTCCTCCTCCTCCTCCTCCTCCTCCTCCTCCTCCTCCTCCTCCTGCTCCTTGCTAGCTCTAGAGCATAAAGGTGCTACCTCACTCAGCATGCAAAGAGAGGGAAAAGCCCATGACGCGAGGGCGACGTCGGGTCGCGCCAAAAAAGGGCGCAGGGCCATCATGGCCCGTCAGGGAGGAGCTCGTTATCCTCCACCGAACGGGAGCGGGCCCGCTCGCGGGCCTGGGTCCCCAGGGCCCGCGCTTCACTTTCAGACAGGCCAAAAAGGGCCAGCCTCATCCTCCTCCTCCTCCTCCTCTCTCCTCCTCCTCCTCCTCCTCCTCCCCCTCCTCCTCCTCCTCCTCCTCCTCTCCTCCTCCTCCTCCTCCTCCTCCTCCTCCTCCTCCTCCTCCTCCCCCTCAAGCACATGTGGCCCAAGGCGCGGAGATCTGTTTGGCTCGACCTTCGCCTTTGGCGTCACACCCGGATGCCTCCTCGTTGCGCTTGAAGGGCACGTCTCATGATTGAAAAGGGCTTCCATCGGGTGGACGTTGGCTAGATCCGGATGAACGCGTCTCCCATCGGCTACGCATGCAGTTTTGTTGGGGCCTTGGGCAGAGGCATAACAATATGGAGGGTATCACTACGCCGTTTCGCGACGTGGTGCCTTTTCCAGAAGGGTTGCTTTTGGCGAGGTCCTCGAGTTGGCAAGATATGCAGTTTTCTTTACTGAACGTTACAGGGCCATGGTTAAGGCAGAACAAGCTGGAGGGTACTTCCATTTGGGCTGCTCTGGGTATGGTCAGTGTTCACAGGGGTGTTCTGCAAGTTCCGACCCAGGACTGGGGTTGGGTTGGAGGCACGCGGGCTTCGAGCCCATCTAAGCCCTCCACCCCTCGGCCCGGGCGTACATCTGCCGCTAATCTTCCTGAAGTTTCGTCCCATGCCGAGAGTTGGGTTGGAAGCACGGGGGCTGCGAGCCCACTTAAGCCATTCACCCCTCGGCCTGGGAGTACCATCTCTTTTTACAATTTTGTATGCTTATGTATCCTGCTCTGGGTTGTATTGCAAGCATGCTGACTTTGTGCAAGTATTGCAGTCTGGGGCTTCTGCTGTCGGTGGCACTTCCGTTGTTCGGCTGGGGCGAGGTGGTCTGTGGGTGAGGCGAGCTACTTCCTTCATTGCGAGAGTTAGCCCAGTGATCCACGACTAGGGCCTTACAGAGTCAAACTCACTTCTGCTTAGCCACTGGTTTTGTCAATGTGCTGTCAATTCGGCGGCACAGCTTCAGTTTTTATAGGTATTTGGGCTGGTATGGTAGTTCTCTCGTGGTATTGCTGTTACCAGGTCGTGTATTGGTCAGCTTCTGCGTCTGGTCTTCGGATTCGGGTCTTCCGGGTAGGGTCAAAGGGTCCATGTCTCAGGGTTTGTGATCGGGTGTTCGGAATAAGTGCCGATTTCTATCATCTCCTGCAAGCCTTGGTCCCGCCGCCACGCAGCGAGCCCGTCACAGCAAAAAACTCGATACCTGATCGTCCGACGGAGCGCAAATCACCACTGGCAATTGTCGTCCAATTCGTACCGGTCCTCGTATAACTTGGATTGTGTCCAGAAGCCTCCAGTAACGCAAGCAAGCACCAGATCAGCTTGAATGCTTTGACCCTCGGATCTCATACGCTGCAGCTCGTGACGGATCGACTCTGAGTGCGCGGCTTCATTCCACCCAAGATGGTTTGAGGCCTTCTGTCCAGCTGCTACTGGACCGTCCTGTGGATCAGGGTCCTGAGGGTCCTGGTGCCCATGATCGTGAGGTCCACGCGGTGGGGGCCCCCCCGGTTGGCAGAATCCAGAACAGTCCATCCCAAGCGTCTCAACGTCTGCGCTGCTGCGCCCGCGGGTCCCGCCGCCGTGAACCAGTGGTAGTATGGACTGCGCACGGCGCACCGAGGCGCAGGCACGCGGCCAGAGGGGGAGCCTCCTCCTCCTCCTCCTCCTCCTCCTCCTCCTCCTCCTCCTCCTCCTCCTCCTCCTCCCGCTGGTCCGCTGGTGCGCAACGTCGAGAGCGGCCTGAAAGACTGTGCGCGTGGTGCGCAGGCCGATCCGCTCCCGGTGCAGCGCCAGGGCATTAGCGAGGCGGGACGGGTCGAGGTGGGATCAGCCAGGCGCGGGAGCGTCCGTTTTCCTTCCCAGGAAAGTGCGAGAGCGGCCAGGGCACGGAGATCACTGAGGTCGGCATCCTTCATTCCCACCACCGTGACCCCAGAAGCAGCAGCCGCTATCCCACCTCCTCGGAATACCCGCGTGAGCCCCTTGCTGTGGAACTCTGATAGATCTGAATATCATCACTCCCGACACCCTCTTCCGACTCATCAACGTACACTTCTTCGACTGCCTCGAAATATCATGACCCAAGTTCTTGACAGAACTACATCGGCGACAGGTGAATCTGGCCAACTTGTGCTGGAGATTATTCCCAGGCATCTCGCAAGACGAAACCAGCTGGCACTTCTTACGCGAGATAACTAAGCCCATGCTCTCCAGCATGGAGCATAACCGGGGACAGCTTCCGACAGGACGTACTCAACACGATTGCGCGACCTTCTGATCCCCAGGGTAATCTCACCTATCATCACATACAGGTTCAGGGCAGGCCAACGCTCCGGCATGAGGCGTCAACAGCAATAGCAGCAGTAGCATGATCATCAACAGCATCAGCAGCAGCAGCAGCATGATCAGCATCATCAACATCATCATCATCATCATCATCATCATCATCATCATCATCATCATCATCATCAGCATCATCATCATCATCAGCATCATCATCAGCAGCAGCAGCATCATCATCAGCAGCATCATCAACACCATAATCAACAACATCATGAGCATCACCATCATCACGATCATCATCATAATCATCATCATCATCATCATCATCATCATCATCATCAGTATTATTATCATCGTCAGCACCATTATCATCAGCATCATCATCATCAGCATCATCATCATCATCATCAGCATCATCATCATCATCATCATCATCATCATCATCATCATCATCATCATCATCATCTTCATCATCATCATCGTCACCATCATCATCACCACCAGATTCATCATAACAGTCATCATCGCCACCACAATCGTCATCATCATCCTCATCCTCATCATCCTCATCATCAGCAGCAGTAGCATGATCAGCATCATCATCATCATCATCATAATCCTGATCAGCATCAGCATTAGAATCATCATCATCATCATCATCATCATCATCATCATCATCAGCATCATCAATGTCAGCATCATCAGCATGAGCATCATCATCATCAACATCATCAACAGCAGCATCATCATCAGCATCATCATCGACAGCAGCAGCAGCGGCATCAGCAGCAGCATCATCCTCATCCTCATCATCATCAGCAGCATCATCATCAGCATCATCATCGGCAGCGGCATCAGCAGCATCATCAGCAGCAACAACATCATCATCATCAGCATCATCAGCAGAATCATCATCCTCATCAGCAGCAGCATCATCAGCATCATCATCATCGTCCCATTCCTCCATCTCATCCTCCTCCTTCTCATCCTCCTCCGCATCTTCCTCTGGCAGGTTCCCAGGCGAAGCCCGTGCGGATGAGGCGGGAGATGCTGAAGCAGAGCAGGACAATGTTGTTGTTTATCCTCGCCTTGAGGTCCTGCCAGACCTGGGGGAGCAACAAGATGCCGATACTCCCTGGCGCTCTCCTGTCGTGCCTGCTGATCAGGTTGGAATGCAAGTCATCACTGCACCGGCCTTGCGGACGTGCTGCAGCGGATTTCTGTGTGGATTTCTGACGGGATGTTTGCCCGAAGCGGCGAGCGAAAAACGAAGTAAATGTCACGTGGATGTTTGTTTCGTCTTCATTCCTGGCCAAAAAATACACACGAAATTCACCTCGAAATCCGGAACGAAATTCTCCAGGACACTCCAGGCCCAACCTTTCATTTTCCGAATGAAATCCGCTCTGCGACGCTGGCGCCATGAAACTCATGCGAAGCCTCCGCGACGAGCGCGCTCCCGAATAGCGTCCGACAGCGTCCGGCGCTGTCGGACGCCATCGGGATTCTGCCCGACGCTATCGGACGCTATCGGACGCTACCCGACGCTGTCGGGACGCCATCGGGGCGCTATCTGGGCGCCGCGGGAACGCCATCCGAACGCCGAAAACAGGAAAAGACCAGAATTGAGTTACATTACAGCCTCCCACGGCTTGCACTCTCTAAATCAGGAGTCCGAGGCGAAGATCCAGCCGCGGCGACGAGGGCTCTCCAATGGCGGCCCAGAAGGGCGAGAAGGCGGGCTGGGCATCGGCATATATGTCGGGATGGCGATCTCCCCCTACCAGGACCTTCTCCGCCTTGATGACGCGGAGGAACCGCAGGAACCGCAGGAAGCGGATCCCCTTCAAGGCCCGGGCCAGGCCCACGGAGGTGGCGGTCGTGCCCTCGGCGCCGCGCCCGGCGAACAGCATGACCCACTCCGGCAGCACCAGCACCAGGTCGAAGGGCAGCCAGGTCCTGGAGTAGTGCCTCGCGATGTACTGCGGCCGCATGTCCAGCTTCCCGTTGATGTACACGCCCGTGAGGAAGGATGCCACCACGTCGAGCGTCCAATACACCACTATGATCCGCTACCGCGCCTGCAGCGGTCGGTGTGCGTGTGTGTGAGTGTCGGGCCCTGGTGTTCCGTCACTTCCGCTGCTTGCGCAGCAAGAATCGAAGCCCCCGACGCATCGAACCCAACCTTCATGCGCCTGTGTTCCACCGAGTCCCTGCGCGCCGTCCGACCTAAAACTGGCCCCAAAAACGAAGGTGCGGGTAGCCATGCCCTGTGGCATGTCCACCCCACCCCACCCCCGCTGCCCCCACCCCAGGCGCCCCCACGCTGGCCCCCGCTGGAGCGCGCTGGCGGACTCCGCGGCAGCGCAGCTGGATCCAATCCATGACCTCCAGGATCGTCAGGTGCGGAAGGCTGAAGGCCTGGAGCGGGATGGTGATCATGTCGTAGGCGAGCAGCGCCAGGGCGACCAGGTCCCAGACGAGCCGCCGCTGCGCCTGCGGGTGCACCGTGCACCGCCCGCTGCCGACCCTCACCTGGAAGAGCAGACGAAGGCCTGCACAAAAACTTCCGGAGCTCCGCGTGGCTTGCTCCTGGATCGGCGCTGGGCCCTCCTCCCTGGCTGCCGCCCCCGGTGCGCGTGCGCCGACCCTTGCGGCCCCCCTCTGGCGCCGCCCCTGGCTGCCGCCCCACGCGCCCGGGGAGGGGAGCCCCGCGCTGATCCGAGAAATCCGCGCGGAGCGCCAGAACTGTGCGTAGAGGCCTCCCATATGGGGTCCGAGTAGATGCGGTCGGAGGATCCCGCCGCATCGCCGATGCATCGCCGATGCATCGGCAATGCATCGACGATGCATGGGCGAGGACGGCGGTGCATCGGCGAGGCTGGCGTGGAGAAAATCAGGCTCCAAATCGAGCCGCATCGTCGATGCATCAGCGATGCGGCGCGATCCGCCGACCCCATCTGCTTAGACTTAAGTCGGGCGTGTCCCCCTACATGGGGATTTTCGATGCAAACTAAAAGATAATCAAAATACCCCAAAATGGTCCAAAAATATTCCAAAAATAGTCCCCAGACTATTTTTTGACTGTTTTTGGATATTCCTCCTGTAGAGGGACAGGCCCGACTGAAGCTTAGACCCCACCTGAGAGGCCTGGGCGTTTACGTCGCTTTTTCCTGTTCGAGCACCTCGGACATCATGGCCTCCGACTGCCCGTGCCCCTCGGCGCCCGCGTCGCCGCCCTCGGAGCCCGCGTGAGGGCCCTCCAGCTTGACACTGCGGCGGCGGATGCGCTGGATCTCCTGCTTGTCGAGAGTCCACACCGGGCGCTGCATGAACATCTGGAAGTCCTTGGCGTCGTCACAGTCCGTGGTCCTTTGGGGGGCGGTCGAGTCGAGTCGAGAGAGCGACGAAAAGAAGCAGGTCTCACTCGAGATGGCATTTCGACCTTAATTAAGCCGTGGCTCACGCGGGCCGCCAGCGCGGAACGCTACATTGGAAACGAGGGCGCTTACGCGCGACCTTACGCGGGCAGCTTACACGCCAATGTCGGCGCAGTCGACCCCATTTTCTTCCGGCACTCAAGAAGCCTTGCGCCAAGTGGCGCGCGGGCGAGCGAAAATGCGTTGTAACGCGCTCAGCTCCAAGAAACAAGCACGAGCAGAAAGAGAAGGTCAACTGACTACATGCGTACTGCGACGTCAGCCGTCTTCCTCAGCGAATTCTGCACAGAAGCGAAATCATCGTCGCTCGTCTGCAGCGCACTGGGGAAGGGCACAATCACACCGAAAGTAGCTTCATTCCTTATTGTACAAGCACTTGCCCACGCGTACTAGCACCAGAAGAGGAACACGGCAAAAAAAAACATACATTTCAGAGGTCCGCGGACGGCAGAACTCGTCCGCTGGCGCAGGACCGAAACACGCGGCATTCGAAGGGGAAGGAAAGCAGAGATCATGACCAAGGTGGATCGTCCTCGCGAAGCGGCGACGGCCAAGACCACGACCAAGATCGGCCTCGAGAAAGTGCCGCGACGTCCAAAGGCCATGGCCCCCGTGCAACTTCCCTCGCCCGCGGCCCCCGCTGCCTCGGCTGGCCGCTCCGGCCTGCTCTTCGCGGCACCCGTCCGCGTGTGCGCGCTGCCCCCCCCTCCTCCCCCCGCGCGGCCGCCCCCGTTGCCTCTCCCTCCTCCTGCACGACTGCCAGGTCACCTCCCGGTGGCCACGAGGAGCCCCCGCGCTGGTGCGGGCTGCCTCTGCCTCGCCGCCGGCGAGGAAAAATTGTTTTTGTCCCTCGATCCTGGGGGAGCCGTGGGGGAGGGGCCTAGGGCGGTGCCAGGAGCCTGCCGCCAGCACGAGCGTGATTGGTGAACGTGTTCTCCATCGGCGTTTCTGGAGGGGCCCTGGGACTTACAAATAAATGTACACAGATAGAATGATTCCCCCATATTTTCCCATATTTTCTGGGTTTTTGTCTTCCCGCCCAAGTCCCACATTTACCCATATTTTCTTGGGACTCGACGATTAATTGTGTCTGTGTGTTTCTTTCCCTCCTGAGTTTTGACGTTGGGCGGAAGAGGGGGGGGAGGGGGGGGTGGCTCCGGACCTCTGCTTCACGCGACTGCTTGCAGCAGTGCGTCTGTCCTATGGGGGAGGCTCCACCTGCTCGACACAGGCGCCAAGAACAGCCACGATCTTCTCCACGAGAGAGGGGGGGAGGCGTGCGAGGGCCCGCGCCGATCGGCAAGACAACGCACAAGAAAGCGACGACCATCGATGAAATCCCGCGACTTCCAGGTCATGGTCCCCGTGTGTGCTTCCCTCGACCATTTGGGAGCTGCGGGGGAGGCAGGGGGGCCCAGAATCGAATCGAGAAGTCGTATCGGCGATCGAAATGAATCGGATCGGCAGACATCGGCTGCCAAGTCGGGAGAAATCGAATCGGCCGAAATCGGCAGGCTAGTAGGTCCCCGCTGAGAAATCGGAACCCAGATCGGAATCCGAAGTCGAATCGAATCAGAATCGGAAACCATCGCAATCGAATCGAAGCGGAGAACTCGGAAAGAGCCCTGGGGAGGGGCGGGGCGTGCCGCCCTCACGAGCACGACTGCGTGCCCCCTGGGCCCCCCCGCAAAGAGCGCCTCCGATGGCTCGGCTTGCCTCGCGCCGCGGGGCCCTCGAGGGGGGCCTCTCGACCCTCCTCCCTCCTCCCTCCTCCTCCTCCTCCTCCTCCTCCTCCTCCTCCTCCTCCTCCTCTTCCTTCTCCTCCTCCCTGCTCCTCCCTCTCCTCCTCCTGCTCCTCCTCCTTCTCCCCCTCCTCCCTCTTGCCACATCGCTCGGATTTCCTATCCCCGTGCACTATTTGGCTTCGCGCGTACTTTTTCGAAGTGGTCCAGAATGATCCAGGATGGTTCATATTAACGAGCCGAAATCTATACACCGACGCGTTTCCCGTCCGGCCCCGCACTGAAGCTCGCACAGGAAAGCGGATCCTGGTATATACAGGATCCTGGTGTACACATTTTTCGCTGTTTCCCTGGAAAGACGGGGGAACAAAGTTATACACCACACCACCCCGACATCGGGCCCCGTAGACCTGGACACGGCAGACCTGGACACCCAACATCCCTCGAAACTAATTTTTCCAAACGGCGGCACGAACAAAATACTGCACTGGAGCATTTCCAGAATAAGCCCGGACACAGGCCCCAAAAGCCTGCAAGACACGCCTAAACCCGGACACAAACCCGAATTGTGCAGTGCAGCAAACAAAACATGCACGGGCAACGAAAAACGTGACTCTGCAGGAAAGGATGTCGTTTCCTTGGTTTTCCATGTCCTGGTTTATCTGTGTCCTGGTCTCCGGGGGTCTGCGTCCCCGACCCTCAACAAGTCCGGGGATTGAAAAACAGCCCGCCACTGGCAATGTATGTGCTCCAGTGTCCGAGAAGAGAACCCATGAGGAACTCCGAAAGTTGTGCCGTCTTCTTTTTTCAATGCGGGGTCCCTGAAAGTTCCGACCCGTTCCACAGGACCGGTTTTTTCATCCCGGGTCCTTGTTTTTGGGACGGCCCTGAGGCCTGGCGAGGGCCCCTGGAGGCCGAAAACAGCCGAAAGTCCTCCGTCGTGCCTGTTGTCAGGCCGCGAGCGTGTCTGCGTGTTCTTCGATCCACTCGGGGCCCTGCTGCACCGCCAGAAGATGTGCACCTCCACGGCTTCGGAGTCGCGCCCTGGAATCCCGACGGGTGGTGGATGTGGACCTTCTCCCGCCCTCAGGGGCGGGCAGAGATCCACATCCAGCACTCCCCGAAGTCCCTGGGCACGACCCCGAAGCGGTAGAGATGGAGGAGGAGGAGGAGGAGGAGGAGGAGAAGGAGGAGACAGGAGAAGGAGGGGGAGGAGGAGGAGGAGGAGGAGGAGGAGGAGGAGGAGGAGGAGGAGGAGGAGGAGGAGACAGGAGAAGGAGGGGAGGAGGAGGAGGAGGAGGAGGAGGAGGAGGAGGAGGAGGAAGAAGAGGAGGAGGAGGACGAGGAGGACGAGGAGGACGAGGAGGACGAGGAGGAGAAGGACGAGGAGGAGGAGGAGGACGAGGAGGAGGAGGAGGAGGAGGAGGAGGAGAGGAAGAGGAGGAGGAGGAGAGGAGGAGGGAGGAGGGAGGAGGGAGGAGGAGGAGGGAGGAGGACGAGGAAGAGGGAGGAGGACGGAGGGAAGGAGAGAGGACGAGGAGGACGAGAGGACGAGGAGGGGTCGACGAGGAGGAGGACGAGGAGGACGAGGAGGAGGAGGAGGAGGAGGAGGAGGAGGAGGAGGAGGAGGGAGGAGGGAGGAGGGACGAGGGAGGAGGGAGGAGGGAGGATGGAGGAGGACGAGGAAGAGGAGGAGGGAGGAGGGAGGAGGGAGGGAGGAATCATTGTTTGACGGTCCCAGGGCCTGGTAAGGGTCCCCGGAGCCGAAAACAGCCAAAAACATCCCCATCGTAACTGTCTCGCGCCGCCCAGGATCAGGTTTTCCTCACGCGAGTCGACTCGTCATGAAAAATTGGTCAAACGTTCTCTGGTCTGGGGCCTGGTAGGCCCACAGGGGCCGAAACCGGACCAAAACCTTACGTTGTTATTTTTGTCGCGGCGCCCGGGACCGGTTTTTCATCCCGAGTCGTTTTTCGTCGGCCCTGGGACCTGATAATAGACCAACACCGGCCGAAAGCGGCCAAAAACCTCCCATGCTATGTTTCGCGACCCGAGCATGTTTGGTTTTCGGGCCATAACCCAGGTCTACGGCGGCCTTTTCGGGACGATTCCGGCACGCCCCGAACGCGCTCGGCGAATCGCAGCCGCTGGAGAGCACCCAGAGGCTGAAAGGCCGCCGAGAACCGACGAAAGCCTCCGAAAATATCAAGCCTCGCCTCTCGAACCTCCCCAGAGAAGAGCCCGACCCTCAAACCTCGATCCTCGACCCTCGAGCCTCGATCCTCGACCCTCGAAAACCGCGACCCTCGAGCGCTCGATCCTCGAACGCTCGATCCTCGACCCTCGAATGCTCGGCCCCCCCGAACCTCGACCTCGACCCTTGATCCTACAGACCTTCGACCCTCGAAACGCTCGACCCTCGACCTCGAGCGCTCGATCTCCAGGCCGGAGAAGCGCCCCCCCCCATCGAGAACGGCGCCCGAAAACCCCGAGCCTCGAAAACTCTCAGGGGAACGAACAATGACACAAACATAAAATCTCGGAGGTCCGCGCGGATTTCTCGGATCCGCGCTGGGGCCCCCTGGTGGCGCCTCCGGCGCCGCCCCTGGCGCGCTCCGCGCGCCAGGGAGGGGGGGTCCAGCGCTGATCCGTGAAATCTGTGCGGACCTCCGAGTTTTATGTTTACATAATTCTTTGTTCCCGTAACTCTGCACCTCTAGCGGCCTCCTAGATGGGGTCGGAGTATAGATGGGGTCGGAGGATCGCGCCGCATCGCCGATACGTCGGCGGTGCCTCGGCGATGCATCGGCGGTGCACCGGCGAGGTACCAGCGAGGCATCGTCGACGCCGGCGATGCCTCGGCGACGTCCACGTGGAGCCACCCGGGCGCCACAGCGAGCCGCATCCGCGATGCCTCGGCGGTGCGGCGCGATCCCCCGACCCCACCGATACTCCGAGCCCATCCGGGAGGCCCAGAGCACCCCGAGGTCTGCGCGCGGGGTCCTCGAGGACCTCGCCGCCCGCTCCCTGGAGCCGCCCGCGGGCGCCCCGGGCCCGGCCGCCTGGCAGCGGGCGGGAGCCAGGCCCCCGCGCGCCGCGGCACAGAAATCGCAGCGGGCTCGAGCGCCCCAAGGCCGAGGTCGGGCACGTCCTCCTACAGGCGGGTGCTGGGAGAAAACTCCAGAAGAGTCAGGAAATGCTGACTAATAGCCCCCCGCCCCCCGCAAAAAAGGATCGTCACCGGACTATGTTTGTACGATTCTTGAATATTCCACCTGTAGAGGGACCTGCCCGACTTGACCCACGGCTCCAATATCCTCGGGACGCGCGCGCTCCTCGCCAAGGCCCCCTCGCGTCGTGACACAAATCACGACGGCACGGTTTTCGCGCCATTTGGGGCGCCCATGAGGCCCCTGCAGGGGCCTCGGGGCCGTCAAGAGAACGACTCAGGGCCAGGATTCTGCAGAGGAGGAAGAGGAGGAGGAGGAGGAGGAGGAGGAGGAGGAGGAGGAGGAGGAGGAGGAGGAGGAGAGGAGGAGGAGGAGGAGGAGGAGGAGGGGGAGGAGGAGGGGGAGGAGGAGGAGGAGGGGCGGAGGAGGAGGAGGAGGAGAAGGAGGAGGAGGAGGAGCAGGAGGAGGAATGAATGAATGAATAACTCGTGGAGTCCTGCCGTCACCTCTGTCAGACTGCCACAGCTCATTGCATCTGACTTCTACACTCAGAGACGAGGACTCTGAGTCGGGTTGCTTCTGCACCCCCCCAGACATCGCTGGGCAGCCAGCGCACTCCGCTTGAGAGCGGCACTGGCCATCGCCCTGCAACCCCAGGGGTTGGGGCACGCAGCCCGTGGGGTGCGGGCTCCAAAGGCACGGGGACCCCCTCGCCCAGGCCCACGCCCCGACCCGCCCCCTTGCCTCTGGAGCCCTTCTTAGCTCTGGGGGCGTATATAATCGCAGTGAGTGGAAGCGGACCTGGAAGAGGTGCCGCGGCATATGTGCTCCGAGCGGGCCGATCGAGTACCGCCGGCGAGATTGTGCCACGGGCCACGAGCTCACGAAACCGTTCGCTCCCTGAAAAAGCGGAGGATGAGGAGGAGGAGAAGGAGAAGGAGGAGGAGGAGGACGAGAGGAGGATTACAGGGATGACAGCCATCGCGCAGCGATAAAATTCGCTGGCCCCCTTGCGGGGCCACCAGGCTGTAGGGCTAAGGTTCGCAGTTGCCTGTACCAGTTGCAGCTTCCGGTTTCCACTGTTACAGCTCTGCTTCTTGCTGCTTACTGTTCCTTGTTGACTTCTTGCTGCTTACTGTGCCTTGTTGATGGACCGCGCGAGGGGGGGAGGCCCAAAACTGACATTTTTACCACGCGACGGGACGGTGTTTCGCCACTGGGGGCGTCCATGGGGGCCCTGCAGGGCCCTCGGGGCCATCACAGAAAACGCCTCGGGATGAGAAGAAGCCGCTCCCGGGGAAGGGGTCCAGACCTCTGGGGGTCCACGTGAGGAAAAAAACATGGCGTCGGGGGTCTGGGGAGCTGGATCAATCGCGAAATCGGATCGGATCGGAAACGGATCGCATCGCCAGCGAACCGCCCCGAGCCGAATCGAAATCAGATGTCGCTGCGCCCTGCTCCAGCTGGCCCTGGCCGACGACGGTGCATCGAGCCGAATCCAATCGGACCGAAACCCCGGCCCCAGCTGGCGAATCGAATCCCAGACGTGCGACGCCCTGAGTTTCTCAAGACGGGGGCCCCTGAAAACCCGACCCTTTCTCAGGGGCTGGCCTTTCATCCCGAGGCAGAGTCTGACGCTCCCGGAGCCTGGCGAGGGCCCCCGGAGGCCGAAAACGGCCAACGATAGGGGAACAGAGAATGACAGAAACACAAAAACTCGGAGGTCGGCGCAGATTCCTCGGATCGGCGCTGGACCCCCTCGCTGGCGCGCGGAGCGCGCCAGGGGCGGCGCCGGAGGCGCCGCCAGGGGGCCCCAGCGCGGATCCGAGAAACCCGCGCGGACCTCCTGGTTGTTATGTTTATGTCATTGGTCGTTACCCTAGAAAACGGCCACAGACCTCCTGCCGCGTTTTCCTTCTTACGCGAGCGCGTCTGGGATCGCATCGGAATGGGATCGTAGGAGAGGAGGAGGAGGAGGAGGAGGAGGAGGAGGAGGAGGCGGAGGAGGAGGAGGAGGCGGAGGAGGGAGGAGGCGGAGGAGGCGGAGGAAGGAGAAGGAGGAGGAGGAGGAGGAGGAGGAGAAGGAGGAGGAGGAGGCGGAGGCGGAGGCGGAAGGAGGAGGAGGGAGGAGGAGGAGAAAGAGGAGGAGGAGGAGGATGAGGAGGAGGCGTGAGGAGGAGGAGGAGGAGTAGGAGGAGGAGGAGGAGGAGAGGAGGAGGAGCAGGAGGAGGAGGAGGAGGCGGCGGAGGAGGAGGAGGCGCTGGGATCGCATCGAGATGGGGTCGCAGGCGGCCCCGCCTGGCGCTTCGACGCCCTGCGGACGGCCCCCGGCCGCAGCGGCCCGCCGCCGGTGCCCGGCGGCGGCGCGGCGCCGCGCCCCTCCTCGGGCAGCCCGGCGGCGCCGGGGCCTCTCGAGGACGGGCCGGCCGACGGCACGGCGGAGGCGACGGCCGACGCACCGTCCCGACGTCGTTTTCGTCGTTTTCGTCGTCGTCGTCGTCGTCGTCGTCGTCGTCGTCGTCGTCGTCGTCGTCGTCGTCGTCGTCGTCGTCGTCGTCGTCGTCGTCGTCGTCGTCGTCGTCGTCGTCGTCGTCGTCGTCGTCGTCGTCGTCGTCGTCGTCGCGTCGTCGTCGTCGTCGTCGTCGTCGTCGTCGTCGTCGTCGTCGTCGTCGTCGTCGTAATTTTCGTCGTCGTCGTCGTCGTCGTCGCCGTTCTCCTGTCGTTGCCGGCGGCGGCGCCCGCGGCAGGCGGAGTCTGGGGCAGCGGCGAGGCGCCGCGCCCCCCCGCGTCGTTGGATCAGAGATCAGGACGGGCGGGTTTCTGTCATTTTCGGCACCGGGGGGCCCTCGCCGGGCATCGGGACCGTCAAAAAACGCCTCGGGACGAAACACCGGTCCCGGGGAAAGGGTCGAGACTTCCAGGCTCGACCACAAGAACAGGGGAACGACGAATGACGTAAACGTAAAAACTCTGAGGTCCGTGCGGATTTCTCGGATCGGCGCTGGGGCCATCTGGCTGAGCCTTCGGCGCCGCACCTGGCGCGCTCCGCGCGCAAGGGAAGGGGGTCCAGCGCCGATCCAAGAAATCCGCGCGGACCTCCGAGTTTTTAGCTTCATGTCATTGTTCGTTTCCCCAATACAGTAGGAGCTCGACCACACGAAACCTTCCACAGGAAACCCAACCCTGGAACTCCAGGACGTCCATCGATTTCTGGTGTGGGAGCGTCACGCTTTCCATTGCAAAACCATCGAAACCCAAGCAACCCAGGGCACCCTGGAGGCAAGCAGGGCGTTTCTTGGCATGGGTTCCCACTGTAGGGCGACGAGATCTATACATGTCCACTGCTCCCTGGCCATACCCTTCCTCAACCCAGCAGCTGGGTATATGCACTCCTTGCCAAGCCAGGAGGGCGTGGCGTATACATCGCTGGCGGGATCAGGATGGGCCTGGCCAGGGAGCAGTGAATATGCATAGATCTCGTCGCCCGACGACGACCGACGACGACGCCCCTGGGCCGCCAAAAAACGGCTGAGGGGTGAGAAAGTGGTCTTGGGGAATGGATCGAGTCCTCCGGGGGTCCACGTTGTGAAAGAAACATGGCGTCGGGGGTCTGGGATTGATTGATTGACTGATTGATTGGCTGACTGATTGACTGATTGATTGATTGACTGATTGATTGATTGACTGATTGACTGATTGATTGACCGATTGACTGATTGACTGACTGATTGATTGATGCCCTCCTGAGGGCATCTCTCGAGCCTGGGCGTGGCAGCATTCGGTGACAGCTCCTGGGAGCCCCCCGTGTTGACCTGCTAGCCTTTGTGCGAACCGACGCTGGCCGACGCTAAGTCGACGCTGAAAATCAACGTTTCATCTGGAAGAGCACAGACTCGCCGTCGCTCGGACGTCCATTTCCCGTGCATTTGTCGGTTTCGTGCGTGATTCTTGTCTGCTCGTTGGTCGAGCATGGTCCTCGATGGTTCTCGCCGAGAAAAAAATGCAGCAAGCGATGCCAGGAAAACGGCGTCAACACAAACTTTAGAGATCCGCGCGGCTTTCTCGGATCCGCGCTGGGCCCCCCCTCCCCAGCGCGCGGAGCGCGCCAGGGGCGGCGCCGGAGGCTCCGCCAGGGGGGCCCAGCGCAGATCCAAAAGATACGCGCGGAGTTCCGAAAGTTTCTGTTTAAAGCGCTTTGTTTTCTTCGACGCTGATCGACGCTAAGTCGACGCAAATCGGGACTTGCGAACCGACGCTGACCGACGCTAAATCGACGCTGACAGGGCGACAAAATCCATACATACCCACTGCTTCCTGGCCAGGCCCATCGTGAACCCAGGAGCTGTGTATACGCCACGCCCTCCTGGCTTGGCCACGAGGGCGTATCCACAGCTGCTGGGTTCGGGATGGGCCCGGCCAGGGAGCAGTGGACACGTATAGATTTCGTCGGCCGAGCAGAATCGACGCCAATCGACGCCAAATTGGTGCAAATCGGGACCTGCGCGAACCCAGCAATCGATGGGACTCACAGAGACATACAAATACTAGAAGTCCTCTTTGGAGGCGCGCGTCCGACCGGAACATATAGTACACCTATCTTGTAGTATGTCGTTTCCCGAGAGGTGTGGCCAGAAAGCGCCCGCCACGACGCATACTATAAGATTTCTCGGTGCGCGCGTCGCCCCTGGGGGGGGCGACGCACATACAGCATAAGTACAGTCGGACTTGATTGGACGGGACAAGCGAGAGGACACAAGACCCTTCCAAGGGCCAGATCGCCATAGGAGTGTGAGAAGGCACGTGTCGCGAGGCACAGGACACAAGGGCAACCTTGAGCTGGCAGGGTCGACCTACTGATCCGGGCCGACTGTATGTTGGGGTGACGCCGAATCGGGACATCGCACGTCTGGGGTGCGGCGCGGGCGGTGAGCGGCGAGGGCCCTGCGCCAGGTGCACGCCGTCGGCTGGAGCTGGGAACTAACTAGGCAAACAAGTACACATACACACACACACACACACACACACACATACACACACACACACACACCCCAACACCCCACCACACACACCCCACATTGCATTTTCATCCTCTCCTCTCCTGCTCCCTACTCATATCACCCCTTCCTCCTCCTCCTACTCCTCATCCTCCTCCTCCTCCTCCTCCTCCTCTTCCTCCTCCTCCTCCTCCTCCTCCTCCTCCTCCGCCGTGGACACAGAACTGTGGGCCCAGCTCGGGGATCTACGGAACGGAGCGCCCATCCTCAATAGGGGTGCGTCCGAGAAGTCCCCTGGGGGGTGTTTCCACGAGTCCCCCTCTTGTTCTGCTCGGCTTGGTTTTTCGCCGAAAGGTCTGGGGTTGGGCGAGAAACCACCAGCGAGCGGAGGACATCGTCATCGGTGCGTCCCAAAAACCTCCGACGTGACTTTTTCCAGATGTTCCAAAACGCGTGCCCGCTGGGCAGCTCGATCACTTCCCCGGCGGACGGTTTTTATCGCAGGTCGTCGTTTGATATCCCAGGGGCTGAGAACGGCCCCCACGAGGCCGAATGAGGCGAAAAGCTCCGTCTCGATTGGTTCAACATGTCGGAAGTCTGCGTCCTGTTCCTCCTCCTCATCCGAAAATCGGCACCCAAAACCTGTCGACAAGTGCGTCTGACCAGAATCTCGACATTAGATGCGGATCCAGCCGTGGCGACGCGGAGGCCTCGAAACAAAAAATCGGTCATTGAGCCTCGACCTCCTCAAAGGAATGTTCTTTTCCCCTGAGGACCCCCGAACAAACCCTTCTACTTTGGAGAGGAGGACACATACTTTTAAAGCCGGCAGAGCAGAGGAGCCTCAGGCGCGGTCGGCAGGTGGAGATGCCAAGTGCGAACGACTTTAGTCGAACGCGTCATGATGGAAACGTCCAGTCAAGGCCGTGCAGATAGGTGGTGCAAGGAGGACACACA